AATCCTGCCTTGATAGTTCTGGAACACTGTGTAGGGGGTAGATGCTCTTTCAGTTAAATTGACTTATTTTGTCTCAGGGCTATCCCTGAACGCTCTGAATAAAAAGCAGCAAACTTTTTATTTTTATTTTTTTCCTAATTGGGACTAGAACGAGACATTCTTTAACTAGAAAGCAAGCTTTTAGTTCATCTAATCTAGTGGTGTTCAAACTTTGGAATATATCAGCAAACCTAACACTCTTGTAAAAACCCACATACTATAATACTTTCTCTAATCTATAGAACATAATCTTCTGGATTAGGGCCCAGGAATTTGTATTTAATAATAGCTCCTGAAGTTATTAAATTTGTCAGGTTAAGGCTAAAGTGATGGAACAAAATCTCAAAGTATAGTGGATTTTAAAATATACATATTCACTTCTCTCTCATATAACATTCCCAAGAGAAGTAGTCCAAGTTGACAAGATAATTGTGTTCCTCAGTTATTCAGGCATGTGGCTTCCCTCCCTTTTGCCGTTCAGGTCATTCCTAGGACATTATCTTCATCTACATGATTAAATCACACTCATGTACATTTTGGGAATCTAGCTGTTGGGAAGAAAAAAATCACAGGTGAGGCTGGTCCAATGTCGTAAGACCTGGACCTAGAAGTGGCACATATCACTTCTGCTCAGAGAGCCTGGGAAAGAACGTCTGGCTGGGCAGCCCTGCACCTCACTGTACCTCTTTGTCTTGAGAGCAAGTAGGGTGGTTTCAGGTGAGCAACCTGAAAGCTTCACCACAGTGATCCAGATGCATATCTAAGTCTGAGAACACACATCTAATCCAACTTTTACATTGTGTAGATAAGGAAATTGAATTCCAGTGGTGTGAAATTACTTTTTGGTCATTTTACTGACATGATGAGTCAGTAAAACATATGAGGATTTACCTATGATGTTGCAAAGTCTCCCTCTTTACTTTAGCATCATTCTGGGCACTTGAGGCCAGGAACTTGTTTCACTTCAGGATTGTTAGTTAAAGAAACTAAGTGCCCTTCATGTTGAGAAAATAAAGGGAATGATTAGAGATAAGAAGGGCCCTTCTCTTATGCTAAATAACCCCTCTCAGTATCCCTTTCTCACACCTCTCTAACACTTCATTCCAATTTTCTTTCTCAGCCCAACTCTCCCTTCCGTGACCCTTGTGATCAGATTGGTCTCTTTTATTACCTCATTTCATTCCCTCTAATATTTCCTTTCAGCTACAGGGATATGACACATATCTGCCCCTCAGTTATTTTTCTAAGAAGTACAAGAGAAAAGTAGAAGTGGAGCTTGTGAGATTGAATGGGCTAAAATGATAGAGTGAGAAAGGGAGGAGGAAGGGCATCAAGATCGGCCTACCATAGGAGTGAAGATAAGGACACAAGTTCTGTGAACTATGAAGAGAGCAGCCTCAAAACAACACAGACTGGGTAGGTGCTGGAGACGGGCTAGGAAAGAAGAGAATGGAGTATTAGTGGCCTTGAGAGCCACAATGAAAAATGTACAGGTAAAGCTATGAGAAAAAGGAGCCTTCTGTAGTTTGGGAACAGAAAAAGAACATTACGAAAACTTAATGTTTTAAAATTGGAAATCCCCTGCCTATTGTCATCATGAGGGACCTTAAGATGCACATTATGTCAAAGGGGTGACAGGGACTTGAGGGTAAGAAGTCCTAGCATTCAGGAACCCTGCCTTTCTATGACACCTCCACATTCAACATCTTTCAGACTTCATAGTATGATGGTTACACAGATCCTGGGAGATCAGGGTACCAAAGGCTTGGAACCCAGACTTCTGATTTCTTCAGAGAGCAGAAAGATTTGATCTTAATTGAGACTCTTTAGAGGATATGTCTGGCCTAGAAAGAGGTATCCTGGGTCTTTGTTATTTTGTCCTGCTAAAGGAAGAAACCTTTACTAAATTCTGAACTAAGCTGGATTTGCTTCTTACATATTACCAAAAAACTCTTCCAGAGCCTGAATAGTTATTTTCTTTGGGGCTGACATGACTATCACCCAGAGCTGGACTTTACAGAGGATTATACTGTGGAAAAGAAGTTACTCAAATTTGAACCAAGAGATTAGACTGCTCTGCCATGAATAGAACACCCACCACTACCACCATGTCCGGTGAGGGGGTGGTAGCACCAGCCTCACCACAGGGAACTCTCTTTAGAATGGAACCCAAAGAGCACCTCTCCCATCTGGGACCCTGGGTTCAACTCCTACAGAGAAGGGAACTTTTGGCCCCAGGCATTTCCTTCTATGACTTTCTGCTACAGCTGCCGAAAGCAAATTGAGTGCTTATCGCATACCTATTTTGCCAAGCCCATAGTGATCATTTAAGCAGCCACCACACTGACAAGGAAAACCCAGCTAAAAGGTACAAAAATATCTACCCTAATGCTGCATATTGGTTGATTGTCAGAGTTTTGTAGTTTTGATATAATGAGAATTCTGCACCAAATTGAAAAACATCGGGAAAATTGATATATGAAGAGCGATATACAACAAAAAAAGTATTTCAGTGATGTGACATTCATTTACATGCCTTCATTTAAAATTAGGACATTAAAAATGAGTGGTCTCAGGATAGAGGGGCGATGTAAGATGAGAAAACAAGAATACATAGGTCCTCATTAATGAAGAAGATAACTGCCCATGCTTTCTATAGAGCTTTGAACCATAAAGATTTACAAATAAATAATTGGTAATAAAAAAAAGTTCACTACAACATCAGAAAATAAGGTTGAAGACTAATTTTGCCTGGCATTTGGCATAAACTTCCTATTTTCTATTTCTATCTCCTTTATTCCTCCATGGCTTGCCATTCCTCTCCCCCAGGGAATCAAGACTATGCTTGAGTAGAGATTGCAATAAGCGTTTTATTTCTTCCTTCTTGGCAATCTTTGACATAGATAGGAATAAGGATAGAGAAATGAAGGTTACATAGGGCTGGAGCTTTTGAATGAGGGCAGCAGCTAAGGCAAAATATCTTTTTCCTCTGGCATCTTCTGGAGGACAAGCAGGCTTCTGGTTGCATAGGAGAGTGCTCACATTCGAGTGCACACATTAATGCACACATTTCTTTGAAGAGAAGCAGTGATAATAATATCCCCTATGCCCATTTACTATTCCTTTGAATAATTTTGTGGCAGTACAATTAATTTTCAGTTATCTATATTGGTTTTGGGCCTCGTCGCCTTAATTCTGTCAAGTTGAGTGAACTCTTACTTCTTGGCTTTATAGCCGATCTAAGATGGAATTTAGTTTGGTTCACAGAAAGTGTGTGTGTGTGTGTGTGTGTGTGTGTGTGTGTGTGTGTGTGTGTGTGAAAGAGAGAGAGAGAGACAGAGAGAGAGAGAGAGAGAGAGAAATCTGCATTCCAAGATCATTTATAAATTTTAATCAAGTTATCCACAATTTTGGATTTTTCATTCCTCCAGTTAGTATAAATAGTCAAGAGTTTACTATAGTGCTGAAAGGGTATATGTGGATAATAGAAAGCAATAAACAATAATGATAATGAGTATGTCTTTCTTTAGATCGTAGTCTCACAGTCTGTGGGATTTACAAGTTAGAGCCACTAACTAACAAACTCATCAGAGAATGACCTGTTAACACTGCTAATATTTTCTTTAGTGATGTAACACTGTGGTACTGGCACTTGGGGAATCCTTTGCCCATAGTAAGCATAGTAGTCTCCGGTCCTGGGCTGTCAGAGCAGTTTATGCCAAGATTTTCTCCACACTTGTAGCTGTGGGCCTTGGGGACCCCGCGGATCACTTCCATGGAGCCAAGAATAAAGTTATTGCTTAACATGCATGACCCATTAACTTCTGAAACTGTTCTCCAGTCCACTGTGTTATTGCAATACTCTTTGTCATTACTTAGACTGTTTCTCTTAGGGAATCCATACTGTAATCTTCCGAATGTCAATAATGAGGAAGACATAATGTCCCTGGACATGCTAAGGCCGAAATCATGACATAACAGAGTCAAGTTCGTTAATACCTCAATGGTCTGTTTTTCTTGGTTATTTTTTGCTGTGTCATATTGCATCTCTTCCTCTGAAAATTTTTCTTTAGTCGTCTCCATTTTGCTTCCTGAAGATCCTACAAGAATCAACCCCAGGCCAAGTAGCAGCAGAGAGGTCTCCATCTCAGACTTAGGGTAATCTGTTCTGCAGTAAAAATAAAAAGTAAAATATAAAAATAAGGAGATAGCTCTCTTTTCCTTATAACAATTCCCAGGATAGACCCGACCATGTAACTTAAGACCCTGACATCTGTTAATGGCAGTATGATGCAGTGAAAAGACAATCAGCTGTGGAGTCTGAAGGACCATCTTCAAATCCCTGCTTATCCACTAACAAACAATTTACTCTACCTCATCTAACCTCAGTTTCCCCATGTGAAAAAAAAAGGGGGGGAAATGTGAGAATTATATAGGATTTTCCTTCCTTTACTCCTTGTCTATGATCTCATTGGAAGGATCTGTAATCTTCCTAGAATTTCACCCTACACATTTCTCATTAGTGCTATATCTCCTACATACTCACACATTACCTAGCACATGGCAGCCACTTGAAAAAAACCACAATATTATTTTCCCCTTCTCTCATTCTTTTCCCCCAATTGATTCCCAGTTATGGGATATCTGTCTTTACCGGTTCCTTTGGCAAGTTGATCCTGTAGAGAAAGCTTCCAGCTTGTTGCAGGGCAAGAAGTAAAATTGTATTTGTTTCCTGTGAGTTTCTGTTATTGGGCCTAAGTGAGAGAAGGAGGGGCAAAAAGGAGGTAGGTTGACTTGTATGAGATCAGAGGAGACAACGTGGAACAAGGTTGCTCAGAGAAATGAACAAAATGTCCATTTAGCTGTCAGAATCCCAGTGACCTAGGCAGCACCAAGTGCTTCCTCTTCTGTGAAATATTCCTTGTCTATTTGTACTTTAACTCAAAATGCTTTTTATTTTGCTTCTTTGAAATCCTGCAGCATAGATTTTACTGCACTTCATTTTATATCTTTTTTTTTTTTATTTAGTTGATACATGTTAGTCTTTTCTCCTTTTATTAAGGCTAAAAATTCCTTGAGTCTGGAACATAATTTCTGCTTCTTTTTATTCTGTACAGAATCAAGCACTGAACTGTGTATATTACTAGTTTCTCAACAAGTTTGTTTTAACAACATTAGTATGGCTTGACTAGTGTAGAAAATCCTAAACTTGAGGTCAATGCTGGAAAATTCATGAGAATCCTGGAGAGAATAGTTACTCAGGGTGACAATTTTTTCTCTTACTCGAGAAAGATCTCGTTTTTTCCTCTTTTTTCTCTCCCACCTCTAAAAGCTTCCTTCCCTTGTGCTTATATCTCCTGCATTATCACACTTATTTACCTTCTAATCACCATTCCTTGCCCCTCTAATTCCTTTAATACACATCTTTTCTAGAAACACCACTTGCAATGACACTACTTCAGAAACCTTGAAATATTCCTCATTGCCTACACAAGATAATCTAATCCCCTGAGGCCACTTAGTCAAGGCACTACTTGATCTAATATCAACCTGATTTTCAGGGTTTATTTACCATTATTTTGGTATGCAAACCTGCTCTAGTCAAATAAGTGTGACCCCCTCTTTCTGAATTAGCCCTATTCCATCTCTCCATTTTTGCTCCTTTCTTGAATGCCTATTCTTTTTTGCCTCTTGAAATCCTTCAAAGCCCAATTCAGATCCCATCCTTTCATTGACACATTTTCTCACTTACTTAAGTCTCTCAAATCCATTCCTCATTTCTCTAAACTTCTTATCACACTCACTTCTTATACTGTCATTTGACATCAGTATACATGAACTTGTATTTTTAAAATTATATTTAATTTTAAAATGTCCTGTGTGTAAAATTAGACCAAAGACCCAGTACTAAGAATATATAAGCCTAAATAATTGGATTGCTTGATTATCAATAGATTATTAAGAATTAAATAAATATGTTCATGTGTGTGCCTTGAGCATAGTCTTGGTATGGGTCGAAGGGAGGAGGAAAGGATTTAATTGTTTCCTAAACATCCTCACCATCAACATCAATAGTGAGGTGATAATAAGAAAACAGAAAGACAATAAGGAGAAAAATAAACAAGAAGAGTAGTGCAGATATTCCCAGTTTTTCTGAAACATGTATTTCAAGTGGGCAGAATTTGTAGCTACCTAGGTTTGATTTGGGCTGCTAGGTGCCCATTAAAAGAAAAACAAACAAACCCAAACTACAAATGTCAAAAACATCACAATTCATTGGAATTGGGCTTTGATCACTATTGAATGAAAATACTCTGAGGACAGATTCCACTGGACAGTCTCAATTACCTACTGACACTTCATTGGGAATGCATTTACCTGTAAGATTTTGCTTTTAATTAGAAGGAGGGAGGTCAGGTGAGGAAGGGAAGAAAAGTTGTTGGGTAGGAAAGAAAAGACAAAAAAGCCTAGAGAGAGGAGTAGGAAAAATAATAAGAATTCAGAACATAGAAACACATTTCGGCTACTTTAAAGTTTCACCCAAGAAATGATGCTGCTACCAGGACCCAACAAGTCATGTCCTAGGAACCACCTGTTTCTGCTTAGCATCTATTCGGATGCTGATGGCTCTGATCCCTTGGTGACATTCAAACTTAAAGAAGACAACAGTGACATTGGGATTCTCACAGAGAAATAGATAATGAAACTCAATTGTGAAAAGGCCACCCCAGATGGGTGAGCCTTGCCCACTTTTCAAGATTGAAGTGTCACCCTTCTCCTTCCTTAAATCTAATAAATCGATTAGAACTTGATACTTACAAAAGATGAAGTTAACAACTAGCATAGGTGTACCTCCTTTTTTTGATCTGACCTTGAATTAAGTACAAATAAAGAATGCAATAGTTGAAGTCTCTCAACTGAAAAGATCAGAACAGAAAGGGCCCTTTGAAGCCCATACATCGCCAGTGCCTGCTCGAGCTCACTGTATGAATTTCTGGCTCTCACTTGCAGGATTGAAATGTCATAGCTCAGAATTAGTGACCCCATAATCTGGCATCCCTTATTTCTTATTGCTCCCCAGTACTTACAACCCTTCCCTCCTACAAGGCCCATGTCTATACTACTAAGAAAGAGAACTGTGGCATAATTGGCCTGGAAAGAACCTCAAAGATTATCTATTTCAAGCTCTCACTTTACAGGTGTGAAAACTAAGGCTCTGAGAGGAACAGGACTTGATCAGAGTCCCAGAATTAGGAGCCTCTCTTTCTCTTTCTTGTCTTCCTTTGCCCTCTATCTCTAAAGATTCTCTGCCCATAGTCGAACGTGAAAGAACTAAATGACCAGTTCAATTGTAAGAACTAAAAGGGGAAAAGAGTTAGTTGTCTGGGGCAAAGTCTTTTCTGTTTCCTCTGGGAATACAAAGAGGAGGTACACTGAACTCTGAGAGTCTCAATCTCTCTCTCTGGGAAATCCTTGTCTGTTTCTCTCCAGTCTTCCAGGAAAATGGTTTCTGACCAGTCAGATTCCATTCAATCTCCTTTTCTCTTTCTTTCAAGGTGCAGAGGGAGCTGCTGAACAGGAACAAATGCAGCTTGAGTTATATATATCACCTTTAGAGAAAAACCTAAAATATGACTCCAATTGCCTCTATACCTAGGGCCAGGTCTGGGGTTAGGGTGAAATGAATGGGGTACTTCCTCCAGGTACAAAATTCAAGGCGGTACCAAAAAGCCCAGTAATCAAGATAAATATTAATTTAATGCAACATTTAAAAGCAGATTTAATTCAAAACAATCCCTGATGAACAAATATTAAAATTTTAAATAACAACATCTGACCACAGCTCATGTAACTCGTCTCATCCTAAATTCAACCCTTGATTTAAAAGTCAGGTATTTTGCTCACCAGGGCTTTTTGCAATAACTTTGCTGTTTTGAAAATATTATTAATCTAGATTACTAGGGGTTTTTTGGTGCCTCTAAAATTTTGCACGTGAAGTGAGTGCCTCGCCCACCTTATTCTAATCCCAGTCCTGCGTAGGATTCACTCTTGGCTCTCATCAAATGACCCAAAGAAAAGGGGCAATAAATTGAAACACATGCATAGTTTATGGTTTAATTTAATAGAACTTTTTTTTATTGAAGTAGGACAAAAAGATTCCAGCTCAGAAATACTGGAAGGACAGATGAATTACCAATGGCTACCCATGTCACTCAGAGCATTACTCCATGTCCACAGTTCAGGTGTGCATCAGGGAGAATAAGCACCAGTGCCCCTGAGAGAGAGGACAGAGGATCTCAGATACAGGTGCTGGTCTCAAGTTATGCAATATATCTCTGAACATTAATTGGCCCCATGGCATCACAACCGACAAGAATAAACCCCTCCGTGGGGGAAACGTGGTACCTGCAGGAAGGATATCTGATACCTTCAATGAGTTTACAGACTGTCATTTTGAACTTTGTCTCACTCTGGAAGCACAAAATGGTGGAATGATTTGGGCAAGCCATTTTTTGGGGAGAAGTGCAAACACTATTGATTTTTCGAGGCCTCTCGTGGATGAAGACATGCTCCTTTTTGCAGGTGTTGTCAGGTCCCTTGATGATTCTTTGTAAGATCATGTGGTTGCAGTACCTTACAGGAAAGTCACTCCGAGGGTAGTCCACATGCAAGTGCTCCATGTTTGACACCATTGTTTCCTCATATAACTCATTTTCCCAGAATAGAAATATCAGGAAAATCATCACCATTATTATCATCAGGGGTATGAGTCCCTTTACATCTTTTGCTTTAATTCCTATAGAGTAAGAGAAGACAGAAGGTAGCAGAGGGTAATCGAGTCCTCCAGCCCCAGCCCCTAACTTTGCTCCTCCACCATGCTGACTCTATAAGAAACAGCTGGAGGAAGAGCTCTTCAAGAAAGCCCTTTCTGACCATTTCAGCTCTCAGTTCCTTAGTTATTCTCATTTTCTTTTGCTTCCATAAGCTCCTTGATAGCAAGTATCTGATCTCCTAGTTCTCCTGAATCTGTCAGAGTTCTTAACACAGAGCTGAACATACAGAGGTGTTCAAAAGTACCCATGGCTGATTGTTTTATTCCTATTGCTGAATGCCTTCCTTCCCATAATCGTCTCAAGCCTGATTCTGCCCAATTGCACATGCCTTTAGCACTGTTTTCTAATCTGTTCTTTTCAATTTTTTCCCAATCTCTCCTTCTGTCGATTCTATTTGGCTCTGTGCTAGCTCCTCTTACCTTTCCTTTTTGCTGCAGCTCTCACAAGTATCATATCCTTGTGATCATGGGTCTGAGAAAGTCCTTTGTGTCTCACTGTTTGCCTGACAATAACTCATAGGGAGCCAGTTGACTGTGGGGAGGGCCAGAGTGGAAAGAGCAGAAAGGGAGGGGCTTGTAGGGGAGTGTGCTTTGGTGCCACTGAGAAGGTAGAGACAGACTTTACTTTCAGAGAGAGAGGTTCTGAATGTGTCCTCATTAAACAAGCATGGATTTTTCAAAAACATTTATTGACGTCCTAATGTGTGCGAGACACAGTACACTCTATTTTCCAAATTTTCAGCCAGTCTTTACTGCAAACCTGTGAAGGAGCAATTCTCTCTATTTCATTAATGAAGAAATGAATTGCAGAACAGTTAAGGTGGAGATGGGAAATAACAAGAGTAAGACTAGTCTCACCTTCTCAACGTTTGAAACTCCAGTTTCGGCAACTTTTATTACCACGAAGTATCCAGGACATGGAAAATTAGTGAATGAGGTCTTAGTAAAAGATCAAGGTATTGAGACAAAAGAATCATTTTTGTTGCTATCATCTCCTGGTCATTTGATATAGGAATGGGAAAACACTTAATCTTACCTCTTCTTGCCCTGAAATGATTTCTCTTTTGGAAAGACAACTCACTTCATAGTCTCCTCTGTACAAATCTGTGTCTTTCTAACTGGTAAAAAGAAAAATATTTTGGGGTGAAAATGGTCTTGAAAAGACAGAGAATACTGGAAAAGGGTTCAAAGAATGTGTCTCTTTCTACATAATGAAAGCATAATCCCAGCCCATGAAAATGAACAACCAAGAGGTTATTATTTATTTCCCAAAGACTTTCATTCTGGATGTCCTTTCAGAGTTCAAATTGACCTGTTTTGGATATGTGTTATGCAATGCCATAAAGATGTAAGTACATAATTAATTTGCGCACCGTCTTCCAGAAACATTTTCATTGCATAAAGAGAGATCTATTTAAAGAGATTATCATTACACATTTCCCAAGTGGCTACTAATGACAGAAAACTAACAACAGTAATCTAAAGAAGATGGAAATCTATTTTTCATCTAAAAGAAAAAGAAAGCTTGGGGTAGTTAGTTCAGGATTGGTGAGATGCTTCAAGGTGCTGACTTCTTCCATCTCAGCATGTGTCTTCCATGTCACAGTCCAGATGACTGCTCCAACCCTAGCCATCATATCTGCATTCCAGCAAGCAGGGAGAAAAAAAGCACAAAAAGGGCATGGCACTGCCTTCTAAGGATACGTCCCAAAATTTCACACAGTATTTCCACTTATATCTCGCTGGAAAGCATTTGGTCACATAGCCGTATCTAACTGCAAGAGACACAGAGAAATGTTCGATTTATTCTGGGTGGGCATGTGCCCAGCTAAAATTCTGGTTTCCAATTACAAGAGAAGAAGGGAAGTCTAAACACTAGAGGATGACTAACAGCCTTTTTCCTGCTTGCCTTCAGGCAAACATTGTTCTGGAAAATGTTAATGAGTGTGCTTCAAGGAAAAGAGTTTCTTGATCAAAAGTTTGAGAAACACTGTTAATTTTAATTCTTCCTTTGTAGAGTCACAAGATCCACAAAGCACAAAATGTTGAGAAACCCAGTAACAGAGAAGTTTGTTAAATTCAGAATTTTACAAACTGATTTGAGCATGGAACTTCATTTGAGGGACACCACTATGAACATACCTAAGGAACAGTGTTCTGTGGAATGTCAACTTGGGAAAGGTTCCAAGTGACTGGGAGCCATAGACGGCATCCTCGGTTCCAGGCATCGAATGGGAATAAAGGAAACAGTAAGCAGAAGGGAACAGAACCTAAATAGGCCCAGTTTTTTGGATTTGGGAGATTGTCCTCACTTTAAAATTCATATAACAACAATTCGAGCCCATCTTTCATCATTATTAGAATTCTAGTTCTTTTTCTTAAATCTTTCAAATTCTCCCTGGGAAGTGCTCTTGTCAATGGACCCTCAAGGCTCTCTCTGCTCATCCTGGCTTCTCTTCAGTGCTTCTCTGCCCTGAGCGGCTTACCTCCCGCCTGCTTCCTGCTCCTCCTAAAACCTGAGTACTCTAACGCACACTACCCGCAGGCTATGTGGTTTAACAAACTTTCTGGAAATTTTTAATTACAGAAGAGAAGAAATCTTAACACTGACTCACGTATTTACTACTCCTGGCAGCCACCAGCAGGCCCTTCAAAAAAATACCCTTTCTAATTGTCCCTTTCCTCTGCCATTTTGATGTGGGGTGTGTTTATTCTCCTTATCATCCCCTGCTTTATATTTCTTCCCCAAGAGACGATCATGTCACAAGAGTGGGCTAAGGGCACTCTGCTTTCTGAGTGCCTTGCACACAGCTGAGGAAACATGGATTGCCCACATCAAATAATAGTAATGGAAAGAGATTGTAGAAGGCATTGGGGAGGACAAATGACCCCACCACAAGCCCTCAACCACTCCTTAATCTGCTACTGCCTGGCCCCCGCAGACTTTTTTTAAATTAAGTCTATTGGGGTAACATTGATTAATATAATTATATAATTTTCAGGTGTACATTATAATTTGACATCTGTATATTCTATTATGTGTTTACCACCCAAAGTCCAGTTTCCTTCAGCTACCATATATTTGACGCCCTTTACCTCGTCTACCTCCCCTCTCCTCCCCGACCCCACTAGTAACCACTACTCTATAGTCCTCTGGTAACCACTAGCCTATAGTCCATGTCTATAAATCTCTGTTTGTCCTGCTCATTTGCTGCTTTTAGGTTTATATCCTATATATAAGTAATATCGTGATTTTCAGCTTTTTCAGTTTGGCTTTATTTAGCTTAGCATGATTATCTCGAGGTCCATCCATGTTGTCGTAAATGGCAGTATTTCATCTCTTCTTATGGCTGAATAATATTCCATTGTATATATGTACCACAGCTTCTTTAGCCAATCATCTATCGTAGGACATTTTGGTTGCTTTCATGTCCTGGCCACTGTGAATAATGCTGCTATGAACATTGGTGTGCAAATATCTTTTTGGATGTGGGTTTTCAAGTCTTTAGAGTAAATACCCAGTAGAGAACTTGCTGGACCATATAGTAGATCAATTCTTAGTTTTTTGAAAAACCTCCAGACTGTTTTCCATAGTAGCTGTATCAATTTGCAGTCCCACCAAAAGTGTACGAGAGTTCCTTTTTCTCCACATTCTCACCAACATTTGTTGTCCTTTGATTTATTGATGACAGCTATTCTAACAGGAGTGAGGTGTTATCTCATTGTAGTTTTGATTTGCATTTCCCTAATGATTAGTGACCTTGAAGAT